TGAGTATTTGATGCTAATCATCTATGATCTATTTTTGAATCGCAAGATTAAAAGATTTATAATCCTAGTTGCTTGAATTGCACTTTTAATTTGGACAACAAATATTTGGCTTTTGACTTTCTGGATCAAATTTGATAAATGCTCTGCCCAAAATGCAGACCTGGGGCTGTTGACCTCATTGTTGAGGTCCAGCCCCGTTTAGAACGAATGCATGTGTTTTGTTAATTTTAATCTATCCTTTTCTTATTTTCCTTTTCTTTCTTCTTTTGTAAGCCGCCCGGAGTCCTTCAGGATTGGGCGGCCTATAAATTTAAATAATAAAATAAATAAGAAAATAAATAAGAAAAGACGGGTTAATTTATTTCTTCATTACCAAAATTGTCCTGCTTGCGGGATTTTTATTTTATTTTATATCAGGGCACTTTTGGCTACATTTGTATCACTAAACAGTGTCAAAAAAAAATCTCAAAAGTCTCGAAAAAGTAGGACTGTCAGGCACTTTTACTTGAGTCCTATAAATAAATCACTTTGTGCTAACAAAAAGAAACGCAGAGCTGCATCTGTATTTCAGCAGAGATAGTCTGATGATATAGCAGGAATCAGAAAGGGCAGCTGACAAGATACTATAACATCATCATGGTCCAATATGTCCTTCCTTCTACATGAACTACATCCTGATATCTTCAAACAAAAGAACTTTATGCTATTCCCCTTACGGATGCGATGACATTTGAGTTTTCATTAAAGGTTACAAAGAAGATATTATTCTTTCTTCTCATCCTACCCACTCCCTCATGAATAGAGTTACAATGGGTGTTTCTAAGGCTGTTTTATTTTTTGTTTTTAAATTAAACATGGAAAAGATGTGTATGGTGCATGTACGCTGTTAATTGTCTCAGTTTGCCTGAGATGGGAAATTATTACTAGTCCCAAAAGTGATGAAGTACAACAAGCAATTTCTCCTCACTTTTGGCCATGCTAGTTGGGATCTCAGCAACAGATGAAGAGGAATAATGTTCTCCATCTTTGTTAACAGCCACTTACGTTACCACTGTGAGAATCAAATATCTGCCAAGATTTCCCAGCTTCTGAAATATCGAGAAAATCTTTAAGTTCTCGGAAATATTGAGAACTCTTACAATAGCAATAGCATTTAGGCTCCATAGCACTTTACAGCACTCTCTGGGAGGTTTATAGTGTAAACATTAATTGCTTATTGTCCCCAACAATCTGGTTCCTCATTTTACTGACCTCGGAAAGATGGATGACTGAGACAACCTTGAGCCCTGTCAGGATCAAACTCCAGGCTGTAGGCAGAGTTTGCCTGCAATACTACACTTTGACCACTGCGTCACCAAGGCTCACTTTATTTCCTCATATTCCAGCTTTTTAACCAAGTCGGATCAACTCCCTTTCACTTCTTTATTACTGTTAGTAATAGCAGCACTTTGTGCCCCACCTTAGGCACAAAACCAGCTGGATGACCTTGGGCCAGTCCCTCACTCAGCTTTAGGAAAAAGTAGGCAATGGCAAACCACTTCTGAAATGTTATTAAGAAAATAAAATGCTACAAATGAAAATTAAAAAAAAAATAGTGGGGAAAAGCTAGAAAACAGGATGAAGAGTAAAAATAAAAAAATAAAAATAAAATAAAGTTATATTATATTGAAATCTTGCCAAGAAAACTTAAAGGACTCATCTAGATAATTGCCAGGNGGGACCGCCGCGAACTGGTTGAAACCCACCCCTGGCACTGCAGCCTGAAGCTCAATCTGATCAAATCCTTCACCTTCTGAATTGTAAGTCACAGGATGATTCCTAAACTACACAATTACTCCAGGGTGGAGGTACGCTTAATCAACAATGTAGTTTGACTCTGTAAATCCAATGCAAAGCAGGGGTCAGAAAGAAGAGAGACGGGAAAGTAAATTATCCCCTTTTTTGCTGGCTAAAAAAAAAAAAAAAGGCTCAAACGAATCCTTCTGCAAGCAAAAAGGGCAGCATCTTGATATTCTCCCAAGGCTGGCTGCATAGAAACCAGATTTTTTTATTATTATTGTTATATATTGTGGTATATTTTAATTTATTCTTTGAGCTTGGTGTCATATACAGTACGACTCTCCAATTTTCCAGGCTCTGGCACCTGCCCTCATTGCAAACCCTTTACACAATGTTTTTATTAACTCAGTTTAATGGAACCCTTTTTTTTTTCCGTGGTGACCTTAAGAATTTAATAACTCTTCAATGCAAGGACAGTACCACCTGCAGGCTCCCTGGGATTAGACTTCAGTAGCTCAATATGTGTGCAGGAACACATTAATGGGAAGCTCAAGAGGAGGGGGAGATCCCCTCAGAAACTACATAAATAGGCCCCCTCAGCCCTGTGGGTGGATATTATGAGTGCTTATGATGTCTGCGCCAAGGCGGGGAACATAAAACACGGAGGTTCTGAGGCATGCAGTGGCTCACAGCTGCCTAATATTAATCTACCTTTGATCACTTCTATGTGCCCACAAATTTTCCTTTCTACGGTTCCTCTCCCTTCTCTATCTGTGGCAGACACTGACTGTCTCAAAAGATTGAATCAATGCATTATTAGTCCACAAGCTGATGGAGGCCCATAAATTAATCCCACTCATGTCAACCGAGTAACACCTTCCCTGGTAAAACCTCACCCATTGCAGAATGCAAGGAGGATCTTTTAATCCAATTATCAGGAGAATGGACTGCCCTCATCTCATTTCTCATCTTGAGGAGTTGCGATGAACGTGTTTTAAAGGGCAAGTGTTACGGCATGGATAAAATAAGCCTTTGCTTGACTATTAAGAGCCAAGGTTTAGTTGCCTTGAATCAATACATAACTACATACACCTCTGGGAGTGTAAAAAATCTGTCAGTGTTGGTTTTTCTCCATTTTTCAGTCCTAAAAAGGTTCTGTGCCTTTTTTTATTTTATTTTGCTGCAGTCTGTAATTTGATTAAGACATCTGTATGACAATTTGGACATCCTTCTCATAGAATTTCTCCCAATGCACACATTTTGAATATGCTGTAACTTTGTCTGCACATATTTCTCCAAGGTTTTTCCCTCAGATAGAGCATTTTTGAACTTTGTTCTTATTAAGTTACGTGCCATTCCATATTATCCCCTGAAAGTGTACAGAACAGAAGTCTTCATCAGTCCTCAGAAAATTCACAATCACTGCTAAATTGAGTGATCCTTAAATCAGATAACCTATGATAGGATGCAATAAGACCCAGGGTCTGTTTAGAGGTCTTATAGAAAACAATTGTGTGTGTGTGTGTGTGTGTGTGTGTGTGNGAACTGCTGGAAAGCAGTAGAAGAATGAAAATTTATATTCGGAAGCCTTGTGTTGCTAAGTTATTATGCACAAAGTTTCTCATACCTTCCCTTCCAGAGATCTAAGAAGCCAAACTTTACCCTTTTTTCATGCCACAGTCATTTTTGGCCAAATTTGCTCCAAATTATCTAGATGGAGATCACTCATGAGAATGTTTTTATTATTTTGTTTAATAGAGCACAACAAGTTGTACAATATGGCCAAGTTTTGTTTCTTTCAACATAATATTGCTTGAGATATTATGTCTCAAAGAGAGTCTCAAAGACTCTCAGAATCATACTGTAAAAAGCTGCGGTATGGGGTCAAACAAATGACTATATCTCCACAAGTATTGCATCGGCAAACTTAACACTTATCCAATGTTCATTGGGGATGTGTGTGCATGTTCACACCAAACTTCCACTTGACATGGAATGACCCTTCCCTATTAGTTCATTGGTATATTATATCCAAGATTTTTGGTCATTTTTCATACGGTCTTTTACCTTATTCATCCTCTGTTTTTATTTTCAATAAAACTTAATACATCTTAGCATAATATGATTGTCATATGTACAGCCTCCATTTCTGATTTGGAGAGAAAACACAATTTTCCATATTCACATTTAATGCCAATTTATGGCTTTCAAAAAATGTAACATGGGCAAATCTGAACATATGAGAAAGCAGTTGTAACACTAATTAACCCAGACTACCATCCCAATGCAAACCCATTGGTTAACAAACTATATGTGAACTTAGTCACATTTTTTAAAAAAAAATTGCTTAACAATTAAAGAACTGCTTTCAAATCTATTTAGGACTATGAAGATCTATTGACCATTAATATTATAAAGCACTTAGATATAATGCAAATGTAGCACCAGAGTTAACATCATGCGTACCTGTTATTAAAGCTGTGTGGTTTTCTCCACTTGCAATGTTACAGATTTTATGCTTTCCCAGATTATCTACCATCTTTGGTTCAGAAGTTTCAAAGATAAATGTGCCAAGTCCAAGTTGTCCATATTGGCCTAAGCCAAAGGTATAGACTTCTCCCCCTGAAAAATGCACATGAAAGTAATATCTACTCACAACTGTCATTTTCAAAAATCAGGCTGTTATAGCAGAGCTTGTTAAGATAAGCTTGTTAGCAAATAACAGCAAACAGATATTCAGATCAGTAGCTACACTGA